AGCCTGTTTTATACATGTATACTATAACCAAGATTTATTCTTTAACTGCCAGGCACTAGGCTTAAGAAATATTCTCATAGGTATGGACCAGAGAATGTAACACTGTCAAACTTTCATTAGCACGTACTATTTTCAGTATCATTATATTTTAGGATTAAAGTTTACTTCATTACTTTACCTCTAATGATTTTTTCTTTCGACAATTTCAGTATTTTCTTTCTTTACAAAGTAGATTAATTCTTTCAAAGTAGGTTACCAAATTTTCCAAACTCACAGAAATAGGTACTTTCATGAAAAAAAAAAAAACATCTTACCTTAACCTCCTACTTTGTAAAGACAAATCTGTTCAGGTCTTGATGACCCTTAGAAACATTCAGTATTATCTCACTAATAGGCTTCTGTCGGGGAAAAATCAGTATATTTCCCACATAATTTTATCAAGGAAATGCTTTGGCAATACCTCTGTATTTGCCCACTACATCATTTCTTTCTGTTGCTCTTTAAGATCTTGACATTGGCAATGACAATACACAGGCACAAATTCAATTTATATAGAAAACTAGCTACAGTTCTCTGAGAGGCTGAATTCCAGCTTTGATTCTTCTGTTCATGAGGAAATCATTGCTGTCTGGTACCCTGAGGAAGGCAGGAGACATCTTGCAACTTACGTACTATCACACATATGATATCCTCAATGTTTATTAGCTATCTGGGGCCACTTTCGGACTTGGTGACCCTATCTAACTAGAATTGCCCATAGGTACTCTGTAAGGCATAAAGGCAAGATCCAGCAGCCATCTTGCTGTAAAGGAAAAGAGGGCTTCTACAGCATGGCCACAATGCTCCCACTGCTAGGTGGGGAAGAGAAGGAACATGTGGATGCCCATCTCTACCCACTATGGGCTCTCAGCAATGAGATCCTTATTCCCCTGCAGGATCACTGCTATCTACTCCACCACTCCCCCATTTCTCCTTCTGTAAAAAGAGGCTCTCTGTTCCTCTCTTTCAAGCAGTTTTTTGTTGCAACTCCTGCTCTGGTATTCACATATCCGCTCTGATATCTTCATTATTGAGGGAGATGCTGCAAAGAGGACAGCATCACCAGAGACACATCCTCTTCTGGGCCCAGTACTGCTGTACTGGGGTCCATACACCTCCTACGGACTGACAATCTCTCATACTTCTGACTGCACAGGTTCTTTACACCACCTCAGACACTTTCCTTGCTAAAGTGAGATTTAATTGCAGTAAGTCTCTAGCTCATGTAAAGATACATCCCAGTCTGTTTATTTTACTATTTTGAGATTCCTACTGTCTCCAAGCTTAAGCAGCAGTCTTTGCTCCATAAATACACTTCTAGATACTACCTTTGCCCTCAGAGAAAGGCAATTTGTGTCTCTTTCTCAGCTGACTACATGCTCTTATTCTCTCTTGTCAGTATTTCTTGGATCTCTCACCATTCCCAGGCTAAGAGCCTTGTTGTACCCTAGAAAGACGGTCTTCACTCAAGCACAAATTGTGTTACCGAATAGTTATAAAAGTCAGACTACAGAAACTATTATAAAAAGAATAATATATCTATAGTTGCAGCAGGGGACACAATATGATGGTGACAAATGAGAACGAAACCTCCACGGACAAAAGGCAAGAACTTGTAACAGTCAAATGTGCTGAGGCAGCCACCAATTTTCAAATATTTTTTCTTATCAGACATTTGCTTGAAATACTTTCAACTCATTTGGCAGTCTAATTCTTCTATGCCCCATTGCCAATCTCTCGAATGACAGTAGCATAATTCAACATTGCGGCAGCTAATTTATTAAGCTTCTTTGCTATGGGATATTTAACAAAATAGTAATGTATTAGGCATAATTAGGATGTGACTAAATTAATTTCTGTAATGCAAATTATACGGGATTACTGCAAAAGTAATTCACACCTCTACACTGTAGACCCTGTATCACAGTATAAAAGGTACATGGCACACAGAATGCAATGAACAAGTACCAAAATGTGCAAAATCTTAACTGGCAGCATGCTGACTTTAATGGTAGCGATTTTCAATATTTAATAACAGACTATTAAATAATTCCACACAGTTATACTTGCATCGAATTTTATCCTTTGTCCACCTAATTAGTTATTGAATCCTAGAAGGCAACCAGCTTGGTCACGCACGATTTACCCTTATGACTCTCTGCTGTTTGTTCATCATCTTGCACTTTGTGTACTGGAAGATGGATTCCAAAAGCACATGCAGAACGTGCTCCATGGTTGTTTTGGAGACTGAGGTAAGTTTGATAAACCAATAGTTCCTTGGATACTCCACTTCACTTTTAAAAACGGGTACAACAGTCTCAATCCAGTTGTCAGGGACCTCCTCAGTCACAATGCTTTCTTACAGATAGACAATGCTATTACATTGAACAGGTGCAGTCCCATGCAGTCCCATGGTTATAAGGTGACTGCATTCTAAACCATTGCTCCCCAGTTGTTGGCAGTTCCTCTCCTTCAGAAAGCATGCTGGTACACACAGAAAATGGAAGCAGGCTTTGCCTGTGAAGTCTGAAGGAAAAAAAGGCATCAAGTTCATATGAAGTGCATTTCATATCCAGCAGTAGGAGGTCATCTTCAGTCATAAACGTGAAGCGAGCTGCAGGGATTTCTGTACAGATGCTGCTGTTTATTCTAGCACCATGGATAAACCATCCTAAATAGGCCGGTGCAAACCCTGCTGAAATAATTTACATTTACCCTGATTTTGTTGAAATGGAATTCTTCAGAGAGAATTAGGCAGTCATCCCTCACCCTTTCATCGACCCCAAACAACAAACAAATACAAAGGTTAATCTCAAACATGAACAACAACCAACAGCACAACCCTGTGCGATCACACCTTACGTTCAATAAAAAACGTGACCTGGTACACTCTGGGAACACATTTACTTGGGCTTTAAACTTTGCCCTGTCTGACAGGAAGAGACGTGTTGCATTACAACAGGCTGATGACTTTTCAGTTCCAGCCATGCCAAAGAGATGTTAACATTTCCAAAGCAGTAAGTAGTGGACATCACTGGTTTATTTAAGAGAAGAATGTCATATCACTTTTTTAGTGGGATAAGTTTACAGGTTTCTAAGTTTACAAAATCCTTTTGAGACATGCAAGTCTGAACAACTCTCAAGGAGTTTGGAGTGCTAACGGATGGGATAAATTGCTAAATTCATGTCTTATTCTGAGACCAACATCAGAAAACTCAAGAGACAGAAAGTGCTAGACCTTCAGCTATGTATCTGGTAAGGCAACTAGAAACTTGGCTACAGGCTAACACAGGATGAATCCTCTGGACCTAATTTAAGGAGGCAAGTTTCTTTTTATTTCCATAGCCTTTACAAACATAGCAACTGAGGTTTCTATAAACACATTATTTTATTCTCCCTTATTCTGATTCATTCTATGGGTAATTTCAGGTAACTGCCAATCACCAAAGTGATCCTTCAGGGGGATGACCCTTAACACTGGCATACTCTAAAACTCACAGAGCCACCACACCTCAGTCATTTTAATGCACAGTGAAGCATGATGAAAGATGATATGTGCTTGAAAAAGGATCACTTCATATATGACCTTTTTGCTAGACCCCTTGCATCTGTTTCTTGCTCCACCTGAATACAGGACACTAGGCTTGACAGAACCTTACTCTGATCCAAGAGGAAAGTTTTTTATCCACTGTGTTCCTTCTTACTGAGGCAGGTCTGTAACTACTAACTTTTAATATTTTAATGTCTTGTTTCAAAAAAATGATTCTTTGAGATCTTCTAACAGGTTTTACTGTATCTGTAAGATCAGAGGTTTATTACATATTACATTGACATTTGAGGGATTTGGGACTGCTTCAGATCCATTCAAGAAAGTGGGAGTAATGGGTTCTTGAGAAATGTATCCCCAGAAGCTTATCATTCTATGGTACAAAGGATTTTCTTAAATCTCAGTAGTGAACTTCATTAAAAAAACCTCAGGTGTATATATCATTCCCATGGACTCCACATTCTCAGTCCTAATTCACTAGAATACCAGACTGTAAACTGCTGCAGTACCTGCTCTCTTCAAGATTTAACATGAGCCAGTTACAGATAAAGAACAGCCAGAACAACAGAGAAGCTGTAAAAGGTGACTTCCCATCACCTCTGCACTCCTTTGATAACCCTGATGACTTTTATTGCAGATTTGAGCAGCCAACAGGATGCTGATCTCATGATACATGTGGAATTGTTGCTTGTTTCAGGCAGTATTCCATACTCTATGCTGCACGTACATGTTTGCAGATAATCTGTCCCAGGATACACAACTAAAAAGAGTTGCATAAATAATGGGATTTTAAAAAGTATCACATATATCGAACAATAAATCCACATTACCATTCCAGTCTTCTGCCAAATGCAATGAACCCATCTTTCAGGTTTTCTCACCAAAACTGCATATATTTGTATTTGTTAGACTGTGTCTGTAGCTGGAGCATGTGAAATAGACCAAAGACCTTGTTCAGAAGATTCTTCTACTGTGTGAGGCAGTACTCTCAAACAGCAAAGTTTAAGTTTCAAGGTAAACTGATTCAAGAGTTCCCAAACTGTCCAAACCTTAGTATTTGAAACCTAAATATCAATTCATAAAAATAACACCTGATTCAATTAAAAATTCCCCACAACTCAAAGCTTTTATTCTGGTAACCTTTATCTCCTTCAGAAAATAATACTAATTTTTGTTAAGAAATTGAGACTCCAAAATTAGAGCAAGAAAGCTTGTTATAAAAAATGGGTGGGTTTTTTTTGGTTTAAGTTTTTTTTTCAAGTTCCATAATTTGTAATGCAGCTAGAAATCTTTACCTTCAGAAATAGGTGCCTGAGGCAAAATAGTGAACACAGCTTGCCAAAGTGAGAAGAAAACTTTGTAGGAAAAGCATTCTGAATGCAAAGGAATGTAATTTTAAAATTCATTTGCACACTATTTTTGCTTCAACAATAACTATTTATTAAGCATAATATAGGTTTTGGTCTTCTGCACAGAAATTACATTTTCACTTTTCCCTCTCCCCAAGTAATTTCTTCATTCTGATTTACATTTTCAGTCAGGAAAGTATAAGGTAACTAATTAGCTACATTACCTATAGCCATTCTACTGTTTGTTCACCAACAACACAAACTAAACCAACATGAATATTTAAGCTGCACATATTAATTTTTGCTCCAACTGAACACTCAGTTATGCACATTCTAAAATACTCTGCCATAAACAGATGTATAAAATACAGCATCAGAAGGTCCAGTATAATTCTTGGAATCCAGTATTTTTATTACTAAATTGTACTATTATTCCAAGGGAATTTTATGCAGACAAAATCCTTTTTTACAGCAAAGCACTTTTCACATATGTTAACACACAGAGACTCTGATTGAAGAGAGTCCGCAAATGAATCCAAGTTTCCTCGAGTTGCATTGACAATCTGGATACTTCTTCCAATAGGTTTGGCTCTGACGAGAGAACCTTAAGATGTAACTGAAAATGAAAACAGTGAAATAAATACAAATAATTTAAAAAATTTAAAAATTGGTTTCCTCATTCAATTCCAATGCTTTGCTTTCAGAAATGTCCCAAGTAAGGGAAAAACTCTTTTTTCCTTCAATTAATTCCCTCCATTTAATGCTGCCTCTTTTTGCTGATCTTTTACAAGTCATTTTACTCCCACTTATGTATTAGATGGAACAAGGCGGCAAAATGTCTTAAATATGTTATTGCTTTACTACATCATCTTCTGCCACTGCTGCTGAATCTATCCTAAACAGGCACTTCTCTAGAGGGTAACTTTCTCCTCTTTCCAACCTGCCTCACAAATTCCTCTTTAGGTTAGAAAGGCTTAACAGATGCCCTGAGGTCAATCAGGACTATTATTTTAATTATCCATGTTACATAAAGCAAGAATAATGATGCCAGGACACTCTATACTGATACAGGGAGATTATGTCTCTATATGTAATGAACAGTAACAGTGGTAATGCATAAAGAAAAGAAACCTCTCAATCTTGTAGAGAAGAAAAACATTACTCTCACTTAATGGATGTAACGATTATTTTCCTGACTACAACTTAAATCTACAAGTCTTGCTAACCTCAGAGCTGTTTTACTTGTAACCTACAAAAAACAGTATCAGTGTTCATGTATCACAGGGTGAGCTTGTATTATTCTGCTGTAGTTCAGATCAGCAGTACATTTCTCAGGCAGTCACCTAGCTGTCCCTAATCTGCTCTGCAAGAGCTACATTTCTTTTGTATGAAGCTAAGCAGAGAGATGAATTCTAACATCTAATATTGCAACTATTAATCATACCCAGTCCATGGGACCAGACTGATAAAACCCAGACTAATAATAAAGACATGATAAAAAGCCACTGGAGAATGAATATCAAGACCTCAATCCGAAGTGTTTCACTCTACAGATCTACTCCTATTCAGTTGCACTACTTGTTCTGATGGAAGCTGCCCCATGATTATATTTAACACTAACAAAAGCAAAAGAGCAAGTCCTATTTGTTCAGCATTACACTTTCTCTTTAAAATCAATTCCTGCAATATTGCTATTAAGAAATACACAGTTAAATAAACAGTGTTACATGTGTCTGAATGTTTATAACAACTTTTTCGTAGTCAACTGTAATTAGTTGCTTTCCCACAGTTTCATAAATCAGAGTATCCTGACACCAATTTATACATCAGAAGGGTTTCAGTCTTCTGCAGAACCATCTTCTCTCCCAGAGTAACTGTATTTTATCACAGTAACTTTCTAACTTCCACACATCTGGGAATAATTTCACTAGCTCTGTGATGCTTAACAGGTAACACAATAAAGACAGCCTACTAAGATGGAAAGTGTATGTCAGGCTTGCAATGTCTAGTGTTAAGTCCAACAAAATGACTATTTTCCTTGCCCAAACACTGCACAATGACTTCTTTTCTTACTTAAGATACAGCATATCTTTGCTTAGCAATTAACAACCAGTAAGAAGTCAGGCATGTTACAAAAAATAAACAGTTCTAAGTAACGAATACTAGAAATAAAACCTGTCTGGCATGGTCCTACTCACAATATGTGTTTTTTGTGTTTTTCTTGACTGTGACCATATGAGTTGTCAAATTATCCAATACATTTAGTCATTTAAAACCACCACCCCCCAAAAAGTAATTCTTTTGAGCATATAATTTACATCTTTTATGGACAACCATCATTTTAAACAGGACTAACATAAAATTCTGTAAGAAAATTGTTACCTTTAAAAATAGTGCAAGGTATGCTTGAGCAAGTTCGAAGTTGTACTTCTTGTTAAGCATCATCTCAATCATTCTCAAAAAGCTTAGCATCACGTCCATTGATCCACCACCTTCAGGGGCTAAACCCCTTAGTTCTATCTCAATATTAGATGGTCCCAAACTTTTCAGTAACCTCAGTGGAGCTGTATCTGTGTTAAAGCATTGACAGATAAATTATTAGTAACATTTGCAGAAAAACTTACAAATCCCTCATGCAGACAGATTCATTCCAAAATTCATAAGCAGTGATTGTATGTTTCCTTACTTTTTTGTTTTCCATGAAATGCCACCCTGCCTTTAATGTACTGTTCCATCACATACTACAGAGAAGTACATCTTTAATAACATAGTTGTATTTTATTTGTAAGTTCAACTTGAAAAATACAATTAACATCTTTGTATTTCTATAATTTTATCCCCATTTCTGTCTTTTAAGCTGAACAAAATTTCTTATTAATCACATAACATTGTGATTTTATATCTCTCTGGGTAGAAAAAACATATATACCTGGGACTTCCAAAATATATTTCCAGTAACAGTTTGAAGACATAGGGTACTACTTTTACTAGAAATCTTTACCGTGTTTACTCTTGTTGACACTAAGCTAAATAGAGGATCATCTGGTGCCTTTAAGGTAATTACTATTTTTGTTAAGTGAATTCCTCCTGCTTTTCCTGGGATCTCAGGGGTGGTGGGCTGGGGGAAAAACATGCAATTTACCAACTCTTTCCTCCTCCTTATAAATGTCCTTCCTCAGGATTTCTACAATCCTACCTGATCTTTGAGAATTCCAAGCACTTGTTTTAAAAATGCAGAAATAAAAATACATATGGTTGTAAACACGGCTGCTGATAAGAACTGTTTTTAAATCACTTCTAATTAACATTGCTTCCGTTAAGAAGAGCAACTCTTATAACATGGTAACTAATGGTATCAGGCATTAGCTAATACACCCTAGGTGGTATAAATCTGTTTCCATCTGTATTTGATTCTCTGATCTCAGTATTTGATAAAAATCATGAGCTAGTTTTAAATGTAACTGTGATACTAACAGTACTAAACAGATGCAATCACTCATTTTTCTGCTGTGATATTAAAAAAACAAGCATGGAACATACTATGAAGTTGGTACACATACAATACAGAGAAGGTGCCCAGCTCAATCTATGTTTGACAGTCCTGATCTGAGGTACAAAACTCTGTCTCCATCCCAGTGGTAAGCCAGGATGGCTTCTAGTATACTACTATTTCCTTGCATAGGCTACTCACCTTTACAAGAGATGCTTGTAAAATAGGAAACACAGAGCCATGTTACACATTAGCAGTGTCCTGAGTTATGATTAACAGGCTGCCTGGATTGGATCACAGCACAGATCCTGAAGTACACCTGCCTTACAGCAGAGGTGGCCTGAGGGAGGCCCACAGGAATGCAACTGCAATAAAGGAGTGTACTTGCTCCCAGTATAGCTAGCTTCTAGGTTTCTAAACATTTACCTGCTGTTTCACTCTTCTCTGAGCAGCTCTGAAGCAGCTTAACAGAATTGACAAGAAGCTCAACATGAACCAGCAACACATGCTTGCAGCCCAGAAAGACAACCATATCCTGGGTTGCATCAAGAGAAGTGTGGCCAGCAGGTCAAAGGAGGTCATTCTCCCCTTCTACTCTGATCTCATGAGATCCCACCTACAGTACTGTGTCCAGCTCTGGGGCCCCCAACATAAGGACATGGACCTGCTCAAGCAGGTCCAGAGGAGGCCACAAAGATGATCAGGGGGCTGGAGCACCTCCCTTATGAGGATAGACTGAGTGAGGTGGGGTTGTTCAGCCTGGAGAAGAGAAGGCTTCAGGGAGACCTCGTAGGAGCCTTCCAGTACTTAAAGGGGGCCTACAGGAAAACTTGGGAGGTACTCTTTTATCAGGGAGTATAGCAAGAGGACAAGGGGTAACAGTTTTAAACTGGAAGAGGGTAGATTTAGATTAGCTATAAGGAAGAAAGTCTTCACTGTGAGGGTGGTGAGACACTGGAACAGGTTGCTCAGAGAAACTGTGGATGCCCCCTCCCTGGCAGTGTTGAAGGCCAGGTTGGACAGGGCTTTAAGCAACCTGGTCTAGTGGAAGGTGTCCCTGCCTGTGGCAGGGAGATTGGAACTAGATGATCTTTAAGGTTACTTCCAATCAAACCATTCTATCATTCTATCAATTGAAATACTAAAAACACACCATAAAAAACACACTTCGTTGTGATAAAGTTCTGTGCACAAAATGTTTTAAGTGCAGTTGAGTAAGTTGGTCCTATCTCAAAAGAGTTTAAGAAGGGGTAGAAAAAGTTCCCAGAAGAACTGCTTTGTGGACTAGGTACCAGTGATACACCATTTACATTTCCAAGCCAGTTATATTAGCAATCATTTCCAAAAATCTAAATTTCAATGATTCTCTAGTAGCACAAGCTAAACAGGGAAAACAGCAGGCACGTTCCACAGGCAATTTAACTGAATAAATTTCAAAATTAATTGAATGTTAAAAGAAACCCAACAGCTTATTTTTACATCAATTATTTATTCTTAGGCTTTAAATTATAAAGCAATGAATTAAAGCTCTAAGTTTGCCGAATGTTTAGTGAAATAGCCCCTGAAAACAGAATTTGCTAGACAAATTATGTTTTTAATGTTTCAGTGACTCACCAGACTATTTCTTAAAAGATCATTCCTTTCCTATCCTAGCATCTTTCGTGGGTGAGATCATCACAATCTCCAAAAAAGCCTAATAATCTTAAGAACATTACCTTCTCTCTATGGGTTTTAGCCAGAACTGATCTCCATGCTGTAGGTAAGGATCTTTGATCTAGATGGGCTATCTATATCTCAGACAGCTTTATACATAACAGGTCATTTTTTTTTTTTCCTCATTTTGTAATATGCCTATTTTTTTCCTTGCACATGTTACAATTCTGGCATTAGAAATCACATGTATATATAAAAATATTATTAGCATCTACATTTTCAGTGAAATGTCTTGTTAACTTACATTCATTAGTGCTCAGGGCTTCTTCAAGATGAACGTAGAAATCAGATTTCTGCGCCAGTACTCCAAGATTTACCACCTTTGACTAGACCATGAAAGTATAAGAGAATGTACATGAATACGGAAACATATTTTTACATCTCAATTAGATTTTTTTCCTTCTGACAGAATAAAAGACTTCAAGAAATAAAGTATTAATATGTTAGAACTGGTACTTTAAAGTCTTTAGCAAGATTTCACTCAGCACTAAAAAGCATTTAAGAATTTTCTTTTAAAATACACAAAATAAACAGATATACTGATTCTTGTTTTTACCTGTGTAACATTTCCTTCCTCTGGAGCAATGTATCGGGGTATAAGACCAGGAACTGTTGGGATGAAGAAAGGGGCTGACTTGGGTACTTTTGGTGGCTCTCTTGGTTTATTTTTTTTCTGTTAATTAGATATTTGAATTAAAATCATCATCATATTAAGAACATGTGGGAATTTTTGTCCAGAATTTTATTTTTAAAATACTATGAAAACCGTAAGGACCAACTGATAACTAAATACATATGTAAAATGTTTTACCACTAAATACGAAGCTCCTATTTAAAAGAAAAACAGCCCCTCTCCCAAACATCAGAAATTATGAAAAGCACCATATAGCTCTTTACTTCTAAAACTTGAAAAATTATCAAATTTTGTGATTAGGTGAATGCAGCTCATAGAATAAAGGCAAATATATCTGTCTGTACACTAACATTTTTTGAGCATTCCCTCTTTTTGCAGTTATGGGAATGTCCAACAGTGACTTGGAGGCATAACCTACAACAGCTTTAAAGACACTTACTATCTGCATTGATATGGAAATATCTGCCTTCAGACAGCTATTCTGCACACTCCAGAAATAGTAATGGCAACAGTTATGAAAAAGTTCCTCCTTCTCAAGAATTCTTGAGTATCCAAGAGAATGGTTAAGATATCTGTCTGTTTTACATTACAGGAGGAATAGCCCTCATTTTACCTCCTTCTCAAAAAATACAATCCAAATACTACAGTAGTTAAGAAACAGTGTGCCTACTATCATTACCTTGATAATATCAAGACTGAGAAGATTTTTCCACCTTGATTCTGGTAATGAGGAGAGGGTCACCAGCTGCTCTCCCAATTGCTCCGGTGAGACATATTCTATCATTTCATCCCATGTTTCTTCATCTCCTGCGACATCCACATCTTTCAAGAACACATATCTTTCATGTACATACTTCACACTTATTTTTTTTAAAAATCAAAGCAACATGATTATTTCTTTTTTAATTTTTGAAAAACATACATAACAGCTGTATATATGGGTGCTGAAAAGTTACTAAAGCAATCCTTATTAACCCTATGAAATATTAAATTTAAATTGTGAACAATTATAGCTAAAATCCAGAATTGGATTTTAGCAAGATTTTGAAGATTTAACTGCTTAGACAGATGACATAAAAGCAATTTACAGAGGTCTTAAAGGAATAACAATGGATTATTTAAGAAAAAATTATTAACTGTTTTAAAATATATACACAGCAATTTTAGTTCTAAATTATAAATGTGTAAAATCTTTGCAACCTGTTCATAGGTATGACTGATGTGGCACATGAAGATAATATCAACATTAAAGGACAGCATCACACAACAAAAGCTATGCAGTCTGTCATTAGGTTTTCTCTAGATATCCTATGTGGTCTTGACCAAACACCTCTACTTTCTCTTCCTTTTTGCAAAATACTACATGGTTGAAACCATGAATGTGATAGAAAAGCCTAAAACAAGGAAATGCAAACCATTAAAAGCTCTAAATATCTAAACAGGAACTTTGCATTTGCTGAAGACAGAAAGTGAATTTAAATGTTCAGCCAGAATCAGTTTATAGAATTAAAACATTCAAACTTTTGGGATTAAATCCTGTCTCCCTAAAAATAATTATGTGTCTAATAAAGCCATCATCAAGTATGTGCCCTCCTCTGTTATGTGGTCAATAGCTAGGTGTGTTTCTCCTCCAGATGGAGATCTAAATGTAGGCACTGATAAACTTGAGTAGACAAGACCTCCATCTAGAGGCCTTGAGAAGAACAACTACTTCTATTAAATGTATCAAAAACGCTATTTAGGCGTTTCTAGCACAGGTACATTGCAGATCAGCTCAACCCAATTCTCTTGCCAACAATACAATACACAAGTGAAACTACCATGGCATACAGGCAGACAAAAAAGTTAGAGGAAAGCGGAACAAAGAACAACCCCCTTCTCTCCACCAAATAGTAACATTAGTTTCAAACTGGCCTCACAGGTGTCAAAACAGAGGTATTATAAAAGTCTGGGATTAAATAAAGTCATCAAACAGCACAGGTGTTTTTATTACCTACAAAATCTCATTGAAGATGTGGAGAACACAGAAATGTAATTTTTTAGATCATAACACAGAACCATGACTAGATTTTAGTAAATAATTTTAACATACGAGTTAAGTATGCCAAAAATGGTAGAAACAACAGTTCAGACAAAGAATGCTAAGACAAAATGAGTTTTTAACGAGGAAGCAAACCATATTCTATTTGAAATATAATACCAGACTGAAAATAATACTCTTTCATCCGAAGATTACCTTGCACCGGGAGAGTGCTAGGGCGTGTCACCACAGATGGTTCATAATCTGCTGGAAGGGGCCGTAAAGACACAACTGAATACAGAGAACGATTTGACCTGAAAAATAACAACAGGCATTTTAAACACAATTTTCAGGTGAATGGAAAAAAGATTTTAGACTTAATTTTCACTCCAGTCTAATTCTACTACACTATGGCAATTCACCAGGTTCTATTCCAGATTAATTTCCCTCATCTAGCAGATAAACAAGAAATGGAACATAGTGATATACATAATCTGAAAGCCTGAAATATAAAAGCTATGCCCAAGTATTATTGCCAAGAATATTTAATACATACATATAAGAACATTTAACACATACAGCAGTATGACTACTTCAATCATTATCAGTTACTGTATTTACTTGAAATTGTAAAATTGTCTATCTAAAAAGCTTGCTTTGTACTAAATATGTACGATACATTATGCAAATATAAATGATTAATCCTGCTTTCACTGAATTTCAGAGTAGTACTATTAGCAAATTTTCTTCAAGTTTGGAACATACATACAACTTTTTCTGTCAATATAAACCAGGTCTAGGTAAAAACACTTGTCATTATTCACAATGAAGCACTTTTACTTAAGCATAGAAAGGTCTAACAATTGAACACCCCTTGGACAAAACTACAGGCAACAAATGTAACCTGAAAGGTATAAAAAAAGATGTAAAAATCAGGAGGAAACAGAACTGAAACTTTTTGTATCTTTGCTGATCTATCATTAATAAGCAGAAATAATTGCAGCTTCCAAATTCTACTCAGAAGTCTCCGAGAACATTGTATAGAAAAGCCCTTCAGAAAGTAACACTACATGAGCACTGACATTTCAAAAGTGGTAAAAATAAGTAATACTAAGAGTTAAAGAAAAACTAAAAATTATAGAACATGATTTTTTTAGAAACATTCAGAAAAGAGATCATTTAATTACCAGAATATGTATCTTAACTGCAAGAGATGTCAAGATCTACAAATCACAATATAAAATACCTGTTTTAATTAGAATCAGAGAAGACAAAACCATGGAGACAATACTTTGCAGAACAATTTTCTATTTGCAATAAAGGTCATTAAAAGAATTCTTGCTCATCTGAAATTCTGTGTAGAAACAGATATATTATATACTTACCACAAATAAATTCCAAGATCATCCACATGTGTTGAAGCTAGAAAATCTCCTGTAGGAGACATAGTAAGGCTCACAGCTGCAGAGTCTACCAAAAAACAATCTATGAGGCTAAGGTGAGAAAACACAACAGAGAAATTCTCAGCAAGATGAACTTGTTTATCTATGTGTATCTGAATTACAGCACAAATATGACTGAATGCAAGCAAGACACTGAAATTATGCATACAGATTATCGTATTAGAAGTATTCAAATACAACACACAAGTTTAGCCAATGAACAGCACTGTGCAATAAACCACTCACCTCTATAAAAGTCTCTAAAATCAGCTAAAGGTCATACATTTATGCTCCCTTCTTAGACACCCATATTCTGTAGAAAATATGATGAACCATTCATCCACATTCAACTCCTTATGCCTAAACACTAACCTTTTTAGTGGCCATAAATTTCATACCTCCAATCAGGCTTGCGCTGCTCTGACCTTATCTTTTAATGCTCTGACATTAATTGTCAACTCCCTCTCTCAAGATACTTCATACACCTGGTTTAACACTAGGACCTAATGTTCCTAAAGAATGAACTGTACACTGCAAAATTTGATTATCTGCCACAGTTTGACATTACCAGATCTTCAGTCTGATATACCATGCCTTGATTATTCCTTTCACTATTGCAGAAAACTGAGAAAATACTACATAAAAATAAAGTCAAAATATTCAGTAGTATGTGACTATTTTAACAATAAACCACTTTTTACTTCTGGATGATGCTGCAGATCCTGAATGATGCACACCCTAGTAGTTTTCCACTCAAGCCCATATTCATAGCACTGCTTGTCACTTGTTGAGGTATAAATTTCAGTTACTTCCAACTGTAAGAAACAGTTGAGTTTGACAACTAACAGTCCACTGAGAGAAACAAAAAACCCCAAAAGTAGAGCTTTGTTCTTGTTTACAGATCAAAATAAAAAGCAAAGTGAGAAGTGGTAAGAGCAGCCAGGTTCCACACCCCTGTTCTGTTCATTAAGCACAGAGAAAATATTGATGTTAACAAAGCAGTTTAAAATATCGAATCTTGTGGGCATGTGTTTTCTTGGGTACTGAGCACTGCTGTGATGATCTGACAAACCATGTTAAAAATAAAAGCCATTTTTTAACTTCAACAGAATGTTTCATTCTTTTTGCGTGCTCTTAGACCACATTACAAGTAAAAGGTAATCAGGCAAGAGCCACATCATTCACAGAATCATCTAGGTTGGAAACGACCTTTCAACATGAAATATAACATGTAAAATAATTATACATTAGCCTTTCAACATAAAATATAACCTGCTTTCAACATAAAATATACAAACACTAAATCCATAAATGCCAGAACATGTAACAGTTACACTAATATATTTTGCACACACTGCATAATAACTAGAAAATTTACCATAAATACTGTTTTTAGTTCAAATCCATCTTTTTACCACAATCTTTATCAGTAACTGAGAAATAAAGCAACTGTAAGGAACAACTACAAAACAAAGTTAACATTAAATTAAATTTTTCTACTTACAGAATTTAAATCACAACTAAAATTACAGATTTAGGGCAGGGGGGGATCAATCCAGTATAGGAGAATGAGAGACATGCTTGTAATTTTTACACAAAATGTACAGTAATTGCCAAATGAATCCTACCATGGTACTGAAGGCATTCACCTTTACACTTCCTAACTAACTACAAAAGTGAGACAATTGGAAGTATAAAACTGCTGAGCTCACAATATCAGTATATTTCTTACACAATTCTGTCTCAAGTACTCCATCCAAACTACAGTCAGCTGGTACCCTTGATTCCTTAATTTGTCTATGTAAGCTGTGCTGCAGAAAGAAAAATCTGCATAATGCCAAGGCTCCTGCTTGTAATTTTCTCTACACAAATTGGTTAATTTTTTCCCCAATTGTCAAAAAAGCCCTACATAAAAAACTTGCACTAGGAATACTTACTTTATGTAAGGATAGTTAAGCAGCATTCCCAAATAAAAAAAAAAAGTTGTTTAATAAGTAAATGGTATGACATCTATTGAAAGTCACTCAGTATTTTTTGTAACCTAAGACTCAGTCATCTAAAAACGTTTCCTATCCTTTTATAAGGACAATATCAAAGCTGAGTCTTTAGAATGTACAGTTTATAATTCAGTTCTATTTATACACAAACATACCACAGTAGAAATAAACCAAGCATCTAGCTTTTTATTAAAAATTCTTCTTTTTAATACACTCCTCTGCCTACAGTTAAGGGAAAACTTTTCCTTTAAATTCTGGAAGAACAATTTCAGTTAATTACTTTCAAAAACAGAGTTTGTCATGTACCTGGCCAGATTTCAGCTTGACCAGAATTTCTTATAGTTACTCAGAGAGAAGAGGCAAAATATTTACTGAGGTGTCACGTGCAAACAGGAACTACTTTTACATTACTTTAACACCCCCCACCCCCCCGTATTAATAGATTCTTACTGCAAAGTGTTATGCTGTTAAAGAAATGAAAGATACAAGTAACATTTCTGAAGTTTTATAATTAATATCGCAATTTTTTGTAGGCAAACCATTTTGGAAAGGAAAGAGGGTTAGAAAGTTCAAACGGTGTTAATTTCCCTCCCATTTATACTGGAAAGACGACAGTTACTGGCCATCCTGTCCCATTTTAGACTAGTGTCATTCACCATGCAAGAACGGGTCAATTGTTTGCTGAGATTGAACACGCTTTTCACAGTAAAATGACAACTTTTACAATGTACAAGATTATTTACTAAATCACTCAAAAGAAATAATCAATCCAAATGAAACCATTCAGTCTCAGGTATGACCAGAGCTGCACACTGCATAACACTACTTTAAATTACTAAAAATCTATCTGACATAATGCTAAAAGAACACACTGGCAGTATTCAGTTACTTTTCAGCCTGTTTTTTTCTGGGCTTCTGATCTTCTTATGTGTACTTGTGTACTTCTTGGCCGAATGTTGTTCTGGGAGAATATTAATCACAGTGGATCATAAAAGAGTATTTTTGGCAATTGCAGGCATGAACAAATGAAAACTATAAATGAAGTAAATCCTTAGTGTGTTGCTAAAACAAATGGAACTGAGAACAGGCTTCTATTTACAAAACAACTGGAGTACTGCATCCAACTCTGTGGGTTGCAGCACAAGACAGACATGAAGTTAGAAAAGATCCAGGAAAACAATCAGAAGGCTGAAACACGTTTCTTATGCAGAAAGGCTGGGACAGTTGTGGTTGCCCACCCTGGAGAACAGAAGGTTCCAGGAATACCTTCTTGTGGCCTTTCAATACTGAAAGGGGGCTTTATAAGAAAGACTAAAAGAGACATTTTAGCAGGGCCTATAGTGACAATACAAGGAGCACTGGTTTTGAACTGAAAGAAGGTAGGTTTAGACTGATATAAGGAAGAATTTTTTTATGATGAGGGTGGTGAGACACTGGAACAGGTCACCCAGAGAACTTGTGGATGCCCCCTCTCTGGAAGCATTCAAGATCAGGTTGGATAAGGCACTCTGAGCAAACTGCTCTAGTGAAAGACACCCCTCTCCAACTCCAGGGGAGTTGGACTAGACCTTTGAAGGTTGTGTCTAACTCTGACTCTATAAAAATCTCAGCATATCACAAAGCAATTTACCTTAAGCAATCTTGCTATTTAGATTACAGTGCTGCTTCCAGACAAAGAAATAATTCACACTCATTTACACTACATGAAAACTCTACATTTTATCATTAGAACTTCAGGACAGTTTTATTCTGTATACCCAGTAAAAGGCATGTATTGGTAGCATAACACACAACTAAAACTGGGGACTGAGTTTATACTCTATGGACAACTTTGAAGATCAGCCAGTATGGGTTGGTGACAGATATTGTAGCCAGGATGTGTTCTGCCACAACAGACAGAAAAGGGATTATAATAAATTTCTGCTCCATGTTTAGCTGACTCACCATCCAGAAGGAAGGTCCCAAGTCTTAATGGTACAGTCCATTGATGAAGTTATTATCCAACGACCATCAGGACTGAAAGTCTAAAATAAAAGTCAATTTAATGGCACAACTGTCAAGTCAGGATGTCCCGTTTTACACAATTCAAGATTAGACTGCAACCTAACAGCAGGATGAAATGGTCCATCCATAAAACGTAACTGACATCACTATACTGAAAACAAGACAAGGACAAAAATGGAAGTTATTTCAGAGCAGGTTTAAATACATGATACAGGATACATCTGACTGTTAATAAAAGCATTTTGGACCTCACTTTTACATTAAATGATGAAAACCACTAATCATAAAACTAAAATAAATCAAATAAATACTTACTAGCATTTAGAATTAAATCAGAAGCTAAAATGGATACTACAAAGCACTATTACACAAGATGTAAAATAAGGAATTATCAGTGCACTGCACAATCTCAGACCTGTTTACGCATTTTATTTACCCGGTTCAGCTTTTCCACATATGCAGTTAAAACCATTGCACAATTTTGCTCCTCAATGCTATTTTCATTATTCTTAATACTTTATTTCGTTAAACCCCAAATGAGCTTGTTACAAAGTATCCTGGTTCAGCTAGGATAGGGTTAAGTTTCCCCAGCAGCCAGGTTATTCAGACCATGCTGACCTCAGGTCCAGGCACGGGAGTGCGGGAACTTTTTCCTTTGTGGCTTTGGTGGTGGGGAACATTGCGAGCGAGCTGTCTGTAACCATTGTGGTATTTCTCTGTATATCTTCTGTCTTGTTTACTGTTATTACTGTTTATCACTTTTATCATTGCTACTGTTGTTGTTCAGATTGTTTATTACACTGTTGTATTAAATTTCTTCTTATTTTAACCCGGGGTTTGTGCCTCACCGGCTGAGGGTGGGGGAGGGGCAACGGCAATGTGGTCTCTGGTCCCGGCAGGGCTTAAACCAACACACAAAGTTACAGTAAAATCCCAAAGCACACTAAAAATACATGTCCATTTGAACGTTATACATTTTCACTTGAAAAATAACATGACCAAAACTACTGTAGAACTATAATTTTACTATACACAGCTGAACATGATGCTCAGTAACTTACAGAGAGAAATTCACCATCTTTAAAGTGAATTAGGTATTTGTATATGTCGTCTGTTACAGAAAATGAGTTAACAATTACCATGTCATTAATCCGTCCATGGTGTCCTGAGAATGTCCTGACAATCTTCCTGGTTTCTATATCCAAAACCTTAATACTGAAGTCATCAAAGGCAATTCCCAGAATACCACTGCCAAGAATCATTAACACATATGATAATGAATACTCAGAGACAAGAAATGAAACCAACATTCTAACATTGCTCCAAAAATCATTTATCCTGAGATAATCTCAGATAAACACCATTACATTCCTTCAGTCTAATGAAATGTCTGGTAGTCATTTTGTCAGTAGTATTTCAAAGCATCAGAAATTTAAATTTTATTAGAATATTTGGTTGCCATTCTAGACTTACATAGTTACAGCAAAACAACATGCACATGAAATAGTTTCAGTTTCTTACCTGTCTCTGTGAAGCAGGAGTCCACTTGGAGAAGAAGAAAGCTCAGTGGAGTAAATGAGATGTTTAGTTTTGAATTTCCAAAATTTAATTAATCCTTCACTACCAGCTGTGATTACCAGCTGGTTTAATCCATCCACTGCTACCCCCCTAATGGCCCCCTCATGTGCTGCAAATCAAGGGAAAAGAAAGTTGTGTTTCAGAACTTAAACATAGCATAGAAATCAGCAGAATGTCAAGCACTACTCGCTATGTCTTTGCCTAACTATACTAAATGAGAAGTAAGCATGTGACAAACAATTCTAAAGCCACCTGAAAAGACTGCTCAAATATTATGCTTCTTGATCAGTACAGAAACCAAGTTGTTTTCAGGTAAGCACCTATAATACAATAAAGAGCTATGAGTAACTGAAGCAAATACTAGCTTTTATTTGTTTTCAATTTGAGGGGCTTTTTCTAAATGGGAGATTTGAGGGACTTTTTGAATCACTTATGGAATTCCTCCAGGGGGCCTGACCACTCCAAACAAAATTTAAAGCTTCAGTTCTGGCATGATGTCTGAGAGTTTCCTATGTTACTTTACATTGCAGTATAAAGCTAAGGCATAGCTCCTCTGGTTTTGGATCAATTTTATTTCTTAACCTACACCTAGGGCTACTGGCCAGTAACCAAACTTAAAAAGTTCATTCCACTATCAAGCAATTATGTTATTAGGGGACCTTGTGGCTTTTAAAAGCCCAGTAAGATTTAAGGATTCATGTGGACTCTCTCCTTGTTTCTACAACAAAAACATTCAGATCACAAGGGCATTAAAAATTGGAGACTTACAAAGCAGCAGCAAACATACATGACAAAACATGACACGAAATATGTATGCATTTACTGTCACTTACATTAAGTCTTAAGTTTGCAGCTGGGTAATTGAAAATAATAGCATATGCAAAGAACTAAGCTTGCTTACGATTTCAATTTCCCATGCATGTAAAGTATTATTTCATTATTAAGCAGGGAGCACAAAACAGATGGTAAAATTTATCTCAGACATAAAACCCTGTAACAAGAAGCCAAGTACTAGAAATGTGATTATTTCAAAAGGAGCTGAGACCAGAGGATCTCATTTTAGTGCTAAACATCTTGGTTACTGACAGTTTTGTGTTAATTAAAACAAACATATGCTAACGTCAGAGCTTTAAAACTAGTAGGGATCCTGTTCTTCACAGTAGTTTTAAGATTATTTCTGATTACAGTGCAAGATAAGACAATTAGAGTAATGAGAAAAACTTAAAAGACTCCCAAATTCTACTCAGAAGCTATGTTAAATTTCCTAGATGACAGAACACCAGGTAGTTACTGTTCTGTTAAGAGTTAGTATTTTAAAAGTGTAGCAATTCTTACCTCTTTCTTTGCCATAAAGACCTCTGTGAATGCCAGACTGCATGTTATACACATCTACCCGTCCAGTTGACAGCCCAATTACAGCAAAGTTCCCACATGAGGTCATGTCAACTGCCTTTCAAAGGGGGGAAAAAAAACATAACAAAACCTATGAAAACAACTTTTAAGTGTATTATCTAATTAGCAAAGTTCTTAGCAGATATGTAACATGTGAATACAAAAAACTAGTATGTTTTTATTAGACTTCTTCACAGAAAACTGCACAGAACAGAGTATCTCAAAAAAGTAGAAGGGAGCTTTTAAAATAAGCAAATAGTCAACAAGTAGCAATACAGCAGTGCATGGTTATGAAGGGTAACGAAATACAGACTTAGTGACATCCATCATAAGTTGTATATTATAATATCAATACTGTAACCTAAAAGACTAACCTATATAATCAAAACATCCACAAATTCAATCCCTAAGATAAAGTCCAAGCATGACAAATTAAAGCAAGAGTTTAAATAGTAAGAAACAAAGAAACAATGGTCTAGATGTTGCTGGAAAGATACAATCCTAAGAATCTACTATTTAAAAGAAAACCAGAGATTTACAACTCCACTGACTTTAGTCTACCACTAAGCATAAGGTCAGAAAACAATTTATCACAAGGTACAGCAGTAGTATGAATGCCTAGCACATGAAGTATGCCACAGTAGCTACTTGTCTTGAAAGTCTGTAAGCCTCAATAAACATTTATATCTCTTTTATTGAGTTTCATTGCATCCAGCTCAAGTTGTAAAACATTTTAGAGGGAATATCCTGTCTGTAATTTGGACACACATTTTTCCATATTGCCAAAAAAAAAAAAAGTATCTTCACCAATTTGTATTCACAGAGTTAAGTTTATTATCACAGGCATATACTCAACTCTACATCACTATGACAGATTACAGGCAAACACCAACTATCTGAATCATAAAATAAAATCTGCACTTAACCCAGGTGTTTAAGGAAAAAATGAATGTGGCCTTTTTCTTATGCATTACAAAACCGATAGCAGGACACACTGAGCTGGCAGAAAGACTTTGCAAAGCAACGGAAACACATCTAAATAATGTAGTAGCATATACTGTAATGCTGAAAAAGCATTATCCCACATAAACTTACTGTTGCATATATATCAATAGGTTTGTGCTTGCTAAATTCTTCTGGCCTCAGTTTATGAGCACCCATGGAAGTTTTCTGATAGTTCCAGGTTGTACAGGTTATGTACCCTTGATGGCAGGCAACAATATTATCCCAGTCACTCTGATGTGCCACCTCTGCAATGTAACACTTGCATTTTAGAAACAATAATTCTAAAGTCAAGTAACTTCTGATATCACAAGAAAAAGTACTTTGAAATACCTTTAGGCAGAACAGTTCATATTTAGTGTTCTTGTTGGAGAGTCAGAAGGCTACTATTCAGAAAAAAACCACATGGCAAACCCTTGCACACATGCTAGTGTAACTAAAATGCTAACAAAACCACAACCATTTTTTGTATTTCATGTCTTTGTATATTTGAGTCTATGCAGTTTGAAAAGCTTATTTATATCTAAATAGCTTAAATTTCTCAATGTGTACACATTTCCAGCTAACTCTCTAAACTGTTTCTTCAGCTGCTGAAACAGCAGAAGTCACTAGATTAACAATTTAAATAAGTGTTGAAGAGCTCAATCTGCTTCACATAACAAAAGACTACTGCATTTGCAGGAAAATCTTTCTTCAAAAGCTCAGTATCCAAACTTTGTAGTCAAATACGATATGTGAGGATGTAAATAATGAGCAGGTTTGAGCTCTTTTCTGGAATTAATACATTAAAAAAGATTGAGAGCTTGAAATTCAAATTCAAAGAATAAAACAGATACAAACTGTTTCACTTCACCAAAGAATTTAGCACACACACCCCACCCCATCCCCAATTAAACTGTACTTAAATAAATGTTTTCTCACGTTTCTAAACACATTTAAGGTAGCTCTACCTTAAATCAACCAGGAAGGTCTAATACTAATTTTAAAAGTGCACATATATACACACACGTATTTGCAACATGTACAGATAGTCTGTATTACTGAAGTCTGCTACATAAATGCCATGCTGCCAGACAGCTACAAATGTTTCAATATATGAAACAATTAACCATCCTCAGAAGACAAAGCAATAGCTACACTTACCACAAAACAGACTGCAAGTCTGAAAAGGAGGTCATTGATTTAAAGAAACATATTTTGATGAAGCAAAGGTAACTGCAAAGCTTCAAAAAGTTAGGTTCACTATTTTCTCGCTACATTACAAATGAACAGAGTAACTGAAATTTGACTTTGAACAGTGACTCAAATAAAAGAACTAAGGAACCAAAATCAAGAACTGTAACTACGATTTCCTCAGGTGACAAAGATTTTCATCCCACTCTTTAATTCCTGGTTCTCCAGCCTGGAATATGTACACGAGAAGACTCTGGCTCCCGTGCTGGAGATTTTCAGGCCAAAAGGCCGTTATACAGAAATACATATGAAATAAAATGCTCTTTTTTGAAATAATACAAAAGTTTAAGAAGTAAAATGTAATTTGAAACTGTCACTCAACAGCTCATGAAGGGCCACAGAATCTCAATAGTCTGATCCTGATACAGCATGGGCTTTCAAAACAGTAGTGTCTTGAGGGTTAAAAGACACAATAAAAACATGATGAGCTCTGTAAAGTATCTCAAAGACTACTTACCCGAAGCAAAGACTGTAATTGGTGGAAGAACCATCGTATCAAGCTTAAGACCTTTCTTTTTTGATTTCTTTTTGTTAATTGAACCTTAAAAAAAAAAAAAAGTGTTTCAGTCTCATGGCTAGATCTGAGAATAATGGTTTAAAAAGGATTGTTTACTACATGTAAAGTTCCTATTAAACTTTTTAAAAATTGGCTTATGTTAACACAGCACTGTCATTACCTAGGATTTGAAGTACTAAGAACAATAGAGTCCCTATCAAAATTCATGTGATGCTGAGCAAATCACTAGTCTACTACATTCACTGATGTACTAGTTAACCCCATTTATTCCAGGATTTTGTGCTGACATCCTGGGGCAGAGGTCTCCTTATCACAGCTAAAACCACAGTCATACAGACATGAGTATATAAAGCAATATATGACACCCTGCCCTTTCAATAACCAAAGAATCAGGAATTTCAAATTTATGCCCAAAAGATATATATAATCAATTAATCTACATCTGTCTAGTCAAATCTATCTAAATACATGTATATCAATATATATATAGATATTTAAAACTAAGAATTATTTTAGTCTTTCTGAGCCTTGTTCTCTGAACTGTACAACACTGTCCCTTAACCATGGCACTATGTGGAAGATATGTTTAAATTAAACCACATTAAATCAAAGGAACTACCGTCAAGAAATAGGAACTAACTAATAATTTAGTCAATTGAATAGAAGAGGGATGAGGTAAAAAGTTGTAATTATGCACGCTGAAACGTCAGCTATTGCTTCACACATTTTTAATACAAAAATCATGCCCAACATTTCTCACGGGGAAATAACATACACTGCCAGACTACAGAAATTACTTTTCTTAATTACAAATCTGTGAGTACACTTTATACACAGCAAGAAGGACTGAGTTTGCAGAACAACTACAGCAAATAGCTTTCACACAACAGTTACAGTGAAAATAAGGCCTACCTAATGTTTTAGCTCCTGTTTTCATAAATACTTTTCAAGGCTTTTTTCACCAGTACTTGTACTTTCACTGAAACACTTACCACGTCCTAAACTTTTATTGAACTTTTCATGAACTGTTGAAAAAGACTGCAGTGTCCCATCTTGACCTGACAAAATATTAGCAGAGAGCAGTGAAGAACAAAATCAACTTTCTGTTTACTCACAAGCTATCTGAACAAGAAAAGCAGAAAATAAGCAGTAAGAAACTTCAAATACCATAACCAAGTCTTTACTAAAAGGTTTTGGTGCAAGAAAAATTACAGATACACTATAAGCAGCAGAACTAATGGAGCCTAATTTTCTATGGCCTATATTCCATTCCTACTACTTTGCCCCACACATCATAATGACACCTCGTTTATGGATATCTTCTCCATGCTCAATTCCTCTGTCCCCTCTCCTTTTTTCACCACAATATCCAGATGTTCATAGCTTTCCATGATTAAAACCTTAAATAAACTGTTACATCCTCAGGTACCTCCATAATACTTCCAAAGTTTTCCAATGACCCTATATACTCCCTCACCAACTATAATATTCCTTTCTTTATCTAATCAACACACCCTGTGGCTGGTTAAGAACTACATCTGGCTTGGCCAGTAAACTAACACAAACAAAAATGACAAAGGCTGAATTGTCCATCTTTCCTGTAAATCAGGACACTAATGAGACTTCCCTCCTCTACCCAATGACCAATATTCACAGAACTGATAGGAATTTAGTTTAATAGATGGAGAGAAAGCTCAAATTTGAAACTAGTAAAACTTTGTGGGGGACATGGACAAGGCAGAACCAGAAACAAACAGAAAATTAATTGCATAATGCAAGTAAAATTAAAGGCACTGAGATGATTTTTTAAAATCAGAAGAATCACGAAACATTTTTACTAGGCCAAACAAGTAAGGAAGAAAATTAGTCAAAACAAACTTAAAAGAATCTGAAAGACAACGGAGCAATTGTAGTATTCAAGCAACCTTTACATGCTGCTATGATACAGAAGTAAGGATGTATATATACTGGGAACTGGGAGAAATGTTAAGCAGGATGAAAGCCAGTGACATTAGTGAAATTTTACAAAGTTAATATGTGGAGATGATTGTTTCTGCCTCTGTACCCTCTCCATATGTTTTAGTACAGTTAACAAAGCAGTAAATCGCAAAAGCAAATGTGAGAATTTGTTAAGCTGTCCTCGATTGTTACAGTGGTTCATCTGGTGTGAGCTAAATTACTGTCAAGTAACTAGTTACTTGAATCCAAGTTACGAGTTCGACGACCAGCAAAAGATCTTACTTAGCCCAGGTGGTTTTAGTGCAGTGTATCACTGTGCTATATGAAGTATAACATTCTTCAAACTGTGGTGTAATGTTTTCAAATGTTGTCTGTGTAGACAGTTTCATTACTTTAGAGCAGTTAAAGATTAGGTGAAGAGTCTTTATCATTCCAGTACTGAAGTGTTCTGGGGCACAGAACAGTCTGACCCCTTCACTTCCCAAGGGGTCTATTTATAGATTTTTAAATTTGTTAGTTCCTAATGAAGAGTAGTCATTTATTCATTTTTACACTTTTAGATGAGTATCTTGGTAACAAGCAACCCTGGGAATATATATTACAGACACCATTAATCTGTAACAAATTACAAAGACACTGCAAAGCCTGTTCAAACTAGCGGGAAAAGCAGAGTGGATGATTTTTTTCCCCTCTCACAAGAGAATTTCCCTAGTTGTCAGAGGTTTTCATTTTGATCATCTCATAGTTCCTTAGCAAATAATGAAGTAAGTTTTATTCATCACGCATATAAATGTGGGTGACAAAAGCAGGTCCTAAGCTTTTCTGCTTGTAACTACTTTTCAGCTTACCTGCTGATATACGTTCCTCTGGAAACTGCGAAACAATTCAATACAGTAACAATACTGACCACGCTAATCACTTACTATGTTTCATAAATACACATACGTAACACATGAAATATAATCTATTGTATTAATAAAGGAAAACCACTTAGCCCTGCATGTTGTCTTTATCACAGCAGGAAATTAGACTGAAGAGTAAGACTGAGAATTCATACCTGCACTAAGAATTTGCTCTCCATTTTGCCCATGGTATCTGATTTTTGTTGGTGGTGCACTGTGTCCCATTCGGCTTCTCAGTATACGTCCTGTACCACCAGGTCCATCAAAAATCCACACCTGCCTCCCCAAAAAGAGCAGAAAAACAAAGCTAATAAAACATGTGCCCTGTCATAATTACATCTCTTGGCAGTGGAAAAGGCTTAGCTGGGAGCTGGTGCAGCAAACTTCACACATTGGCTTTCATCCCCACTCCTAAAACTGCAAAGTTTCCACCACAGCAGTTGATTGTTTCCCACTGTTCATTCTGCCCCTCCAACAAAGGCTACTGACATCAAAGGACAAGCAGCACAAGGGACTTTCATCAACAGTAACTGCCCATGACCCAGAACATTCTAGAAACAGATGAAGATTTAAGATAGTGCACCAGGATCTAGAAAAGTGGATCAAAAACTCTATTCTTCACGGACATCAGGAAGCAATATATGAAGCAATGGTATTAAACCCTTAAACTGCCCCACTACAGATCAACTGAGAGTTCAGTAAATTGAGTTTTGTTGTACTGGTTTCATTTGAGAACTGCTACTTCAATCCAAACTAAACAGTTATACTTTGGAGGACAAGAGAAAAAAAACATAACAGCAGATAGCAGCAATTATTGTAACTCACCCGTATAGCATTATCAGCACCATTAGTAATAAGAAGTGGCTCTCCAGGGACAAATGACATACCAGCTATTGCTGTGGAATGGGCATCTTGCATCTGACACATGAGTTTCTTCTCTTCTAAATCCCACAAAGCAATATGCCCAACTGGGCTACCAGCTGCCATTACGGGGTGTCCATCTGCTCAAAACAAAAAAGTTCAAAGGGTTTGTTTATCGATATTCAGCTCATCCTTACTGACTTCTCACATCTTAAAACCGATGCAAGAAAAGGCTACAATTCTCAAGCTGATTCTGAAAATAGGATATGTTTTAACTGAAATATTCTAGTATTTAAAAATAGAAAAGAAACAAAGCTCATTGATAATAAAACCAGTATTTTTTTTTTCATATCAGGTAATATATCTAAATCCAGCAGCTGATGTTAGAGGTTTTGCTTGAAAGCACTGGAGATATTGTACCTGTATAATTTTCAAAAGTTACTCTATATGCCAGATTCTACTCCAAACTTGCTAGCCTTCACACTTCAGGATGAGAGCTGCTGTATCACCACTCTAGAGGTTATCAGTCCTTTTTTAAAATACTCGGTTTTGGCTCAACAGCTTACAAAAAATAAATTCCAGAAGTTGATTACATGTTTATCTTATCATTCTAAGAAATAATTACAATTCACAGAATTCCTGATTTTGTTCTATTTGCTCTACACTGTCTAATATTAAGGAGATAAACACATCATACTAACTTCTAAAACCATACAATTATTCAAGTAAGTTTTAAAACTCATTGTATCAAAATAACATTCCAAATATCCTGTATAATTGGTAACTAATCTTTTTGCTCCACTAAGAGAAAAAGACAGTTTCCAATTTGTAATTACACACACCATAGATAACTAAAACCAGACAGGTGTAGGGTTTTCTTTTTCAGTAAAGCTTCACACATACGAAAAATTGCTAAGTTCATTCTAATTTAAATAAAGAGCAGTATACTCAGACTAAAATAAATACATCAGTTCAAAACAACCATGTTATATTTACACTAAATTTCCTAACTATAAGGACAGGAATACAGAGACATTAGAGAACATCTTAAAGCCACACATTCAAGCAGTCAATGGAAGCTATTTAACTTTATTAACATTGAGTTAAATGGCTGACACAAAAAGGCACACTTTCCACTTCTCACAAGTCTTTCCACAAGTCTCTCCAGTGGCATTCTTCCTCAACAGGGTCTGCATCAATCTATACTATGTTAAGATTCACAAATTTGTCTACTCAAATGAGCGATTAGATTCAGTATCAAAAGCTCTGTAGGCAGCATCAACATTAAAGAACTAGCTTTCATCATCAGTACATTCTTGTTAGGTAAAAAAACCCCAAAACCTGTGAATATAAACGGTGTTCCCCCAGTACCATCCAATCAGTAGTCACCCAACTATTACCAATCTAACTTTGTTTTGGAGGGGGAAGATGCTACTGAGAAGTAGGTTTGGATACTAATTTACAGTGCACTGACTACTCTGCACTAACTCTGATAATTCTGAACTGCGTTAGCTCCTGGCACATTGTAAACATAAACTCTTATTTTTCCTTGAAAAAGAAGTACTGTATGTCACAATTCCTGTGCACTGAGTCAGTACACAAGATGATGTCATGAAACAGCCAGTACGATGAAGATGCATAATCTCCCTTAGTTACTGGTAACTTTTCTATATTACCTGCAGCATTTGAAAACTAAATCTCAGCCCAAATTTTGATTCCAAAATGCTTTATCAAAACATTTTTTCCTACCTTCCACTTAGTTTTAGTGATCTTATATATATCTTCACTAACAATGCTACGATTTACCTGTACGAAAAGATATTGCTGTGATGGGACCCCAGTCTTGATGAAATTTCATCAGAGTTTCATCAAACTTAATATTATGTACAATGATATGACCAGATACAAGACCAACTGCAACAACATCCACTGCTGGAGCCTGCAAGAAAAAGGAAAAGCTTGCTACACTACTAATACCAGTACATACAAAACAATGTATCTAAGTCCAGGATAAATAGTAAATAAGTCATCTCACATGAAATCTATCTGTATTACCTTAAATGCACAACTGAACATCTGATAAATCTAAACAAAAAATGAGATGCAAGATTCTGTGCTTAGTCTTCCTTGGATGAAACAATTCTGTTTCCAGCAAAACACCTCACTTTACATGTTCAGTAGTTGTGGTAGACCATTATACATCCTACCACACTCCCCCATATTTACAAGTTTTATCCAGGACAGCTGCAGACCATTTTCAATGCTGTTATCAATGCTACCAATAAGTTTTAATTATTTTTTGTATCTACAAAAATACAGCAAATACAATTACAAAATATTTAATAAGCAAAATCTACATTTTATTAATCTCCAAAGCAAAATAAATTTAGCAAAAAGCTACTAGTGTAAGAGAAGTTACATGATACACATGCATCTTACAAACAAACTCTTTCTGTGAATTCATTACATCACTCAGTGAATAAATACTGTGGACATGACGAACACAGAACAACTAAGACACTAAATACTACAGAACTAGGACTGAGGAAGGGCAGATTATAAGCCTTCAAGTCTACCTCTTTTCAATCTCTAAAATGCTCAAGAGAGGATTATTAAAACTGAGAGAATACAAGTCATCCTTACTGCTGTAATTTTAAACAACAATTTGCCTGCTATTCATGACCAGTTTTATAAGAAAATAAGATAAAAATACTAACTTGTTCAAGAGTTGTGACTGCTAAGTGCCATCCTGAAAATGAGTATAACAGTTTGCTGAAAAACAAACAAAAAACCCCATAAATCAATTAACTCTTGGGAACTTTCCACAATAAACTGGATGCTTTATATGCACTTAGACAGAAAAGTGCATCAGCTTTCTGGCCCTATAAACCAATTAAAAGAAAAACAAAGCTGTGATACTAATAAAGTTAAGACTAAAACTTATGGTTAATTTTTACTAAAAAAGTTAGCGCCATGCATTAATAACTCAAAGGTGACATAATTACATCACACGAACAGGGATGAAGACCCCTTCTGTGGCAGCTTCTCCCCATGCATTTCTGCTCTGAACACACCTTTTCAGAATTCTTAACACCAACAGAAAAGCCAGTTTTGGTCCAACTGCCAATTAAGAACAAATCCTTCATTTGCAGAGTAAATGAAAACACTAACACATATTACAAGCACACCCCATCTCGTTTCTTTCAGAAATGGTAACAGCCAAAATGTGAGGCAGAACAAGGCAGTCACATAGTAATTACTAAAGGTGAAATTATTAAGACAGTATTTAAGAACAGACATGATTAAAAAATTATTCCATCATCACAGATGTAAGTTGTCATTTGTAAAAGACTGCTTGCAGCCATGTGTTACCACCTCTCACTTTGCCTTCTTGTCAGAGACTATCAAATCTTCCCCTCAGTTCTTCCAATTTAGCTTTTTGTCTAATTGTGCCAATACCTATCTACAAAATATTCCATGTACGGAACAGTCAAAAAAGAAAATTGCTTAACCCAGCAACATCGCTAAAAGAGCAGTAACAGCCCCACCAGTTTTTACACAATTAAAAGACAAAATAAAAGACTAAGTCATCTAAGAACTGTTTGTCACCTAGGATGCACTGCATCTCTGTTGCTAAGAAGAGGCATTGAAGAGACATCAAGAGTACTATAAGTAGACATATTCACTTTTTTGTATTTTTAGGTTATTCCTATTTCCTGATTTATATAGCGTATACAGTATCTCTGAAAGAATACAACATAAACCAAAAAAATTAGCAGTGATATCACTGAAAGTAGTTATGATAATAAAACACTGAACTATGCAAGCTGAGTTAAAATGTATTTGAAGTATGTACATTAAAATGCAGGGAAGTTCATGTAGCTGTAACTTTCATGAGTTAGAAAAGGAGCTGATCATGGTAGGCATGAAATACTGCCATTGCATACAGTGCTCTACTGGGACATGCTCAGAGACAGCTATATGTCTACACATCTCTCACCTGAGTATAAGGATTAAATGCTAGTAACTACCTTCACACTACCTGCCAGAACTTCCTTGGACTCGTAACAACTAAAAAAATTAAGCTTGGAAGAAGGGAGGCAGAAGGCCTGAACATGCATTTACTATTATTTTAATTATTTTCATAGGAAAGCTATGTGATTCCAAGAAATTTAAAAAAAACCTAAACAAATGTGTTATTAAAAAAAAAAAATCCTGAACAATCTCTGCCATTTTGCAAGGAGAGTAAACAACACGCAACTTGAAAGGCATCAGCATACAGGGAGCAGCAGCATTCTTTCTTCCTGGAGATAGACCAACTGAAAACTTGTGCCAAAGGATTCAGTAAAAGATTCCATGTTCAAAACCTACTGTACTTAGAAGTATTATTAGTTGCATATGAAACTACTTGGAGCATGAAGTATATCCAAGTTATTAAGAATCTTACTTGGATCTTATATTCCATAGTTGCAAGCTCCCTTGTTCACTCCCAAGAAGAACTTTATTCAAATAGGTGCTGGGATGCAGAATTGCAGAAACTGCAAAAGTAGTCTTATCAAAATCCACTTGAAGATACTCCTCTGCAAAAAAGTAAGAAACAACATTAGGGTGGCTACCCCTACAAATCTGAAGGCTTGTCATTCCTTGGCAAATGTAAAGCTAGATCTGACTTTTACTCTGTACAAATCCCATAACTGGTGTTTCTTGCACTAAAGGATTACCTTTAGCGTAATAGGACAGACCAAACTTGTTTACATTATAACATCTGTTGGCTTGAAGGTATATTTTTTCCCTATAAGCCTACCTAGCACAACAATGCTGGCAAAACTGCAGTGATTTATATCTTTCTGAAGGATTCTTGCTCCTGCCTGAGCAAAACCCCTCATCTGATTAGCATGCCTTTTGTTTGTTATAGCAACTTCGAATCTCTAAAGCCTGCCTGTGGCCACTTTCAAGACCCAGCATCCAGGGTATGACACTGGTCACACCAATAAGAATGCTTTCTAAAGAAAAAACCTCAGTGCACTGAAGCAGGATTTCATTAGGTATTTTACACCATAGAGAAGATGCTGACACAATCAGAAGATTACTCCTAAGAATTCAGTCTTACCCAGACTGGTAAATATATCAAAGTACTACAGAATTTCAGGGATAGTGCCAAAGCTGCTGTACCATAGTCTCTACCAGAAAATGGAACACTAAAATGCAATTTCCATATAAGCGTATCTCTTTAGACCTATATGGAACCTTACTGGGTCACTACATATGATGTAGGATCCAGAGATGAAAAATTACTGCAGGATCAGAACTCCAGATTACCATTTAAGTAGCAGTGCCATTTAAGCACTTTCTTCTTTTTTAAGTATGAACTAATTCTGACCATGTGCATTAAAAAAACCTTTTTAAAAAATTACTGAATCTTTAACAATGCTGTATTATAAGGCAGTAACAAAAAAAAAAAAAAAGTGTCTTACCTTCTGATTGGATATTCCAAACAATAAGAATGTTGTCAACATCCACAGAGATGACATGATCACCAAAAGGCTGCAGAAGGTGTATCCTTGCCTTGTGACCTCCATATGTATGAACCACCTATAATTTCAAAATAGAAATGTTTTCAATGTAAGCAATTCAAATACCATATAATGTTAACGTAACACTTGAGGACAGCTAACACATCAGCAACAAGTTTAAATAAAATACTTGGAAAGGCCACACAACTTTTAAGTGGAAGATACATCATTTTCTCTGATAGTTTAAAAGTGTTAGCAAAAATATTTTAAGTAAATATTTTAAATTATTTGGCTTAATTTTACTTCATTTAATTTATATGAATTAAAATTTTTCCTCTTTATCTATTAATACATAAACAAGTCAGCCATTACAGAATTTGCACTTATTCCCTTATTTTAGGCTTTTTACTCCTCCTTCTACATTTTTTTTTTCTTTAAAACTGAAGGTACTAAACATCTACGGAAACAGACATTTGTAGAAAATTAACCGTCTTGAAAACACAAACACTACACAAATGTTTTGTATTACTAAGCAATAAGTAAACTAATAAAAACCTCTTTGTTCCTGGCAAAAGCATGGAGAATATTGTCGTATGAAGCAAATATCAACATGCGATCTGCTGCCAAACATGTAATGTCTTGTGGCAAAGCATTACCTGTTAATCAAACAGAAGAAAAGTTGAACAAGTTTCAAATTCAAAACAAAAGAGAAAGCCTATTTATTTAGCATGGTGCCCCTCAAGAAGGCTCTCCTGCTGAACGTTCTGTTGAATTTCATAGAGAAATGCACACATTTTATATGAATACAAATATTAATATAAGTAACAGCGCACCAGTAACAATAACGTAAGTAACATCAGATTAATAGATTACAAGGTGGTTCTTTTGAAAACCACTTAATACATTATTGAATTATCACTGTAAGTTAAGGCACACACTAGCTTCATGAGGGCTTATAAAGAAGTTATCTCAACATAAGACTTCTGTAGATCGCCAGAGTCCCACAGCCCACTGGACTGGAAATGCAGATGATAAATGATGAGAAATCAGTCTCAGTATTAGCAATGCCTATTAGGTTAAGCCATTCTGCAGATCTGAAAGCTAGTGACCCACTCCCGCACTAATTTCCTGATTACAGCTAAAGACACCAGGAATTTAACACTCTAAGAATACATCTCATTCCCCACCTTGTAACTGGTTCAGAGAGAGTATTTACTATTGCGATCTGCTATTTACTAGCTCCAATTGTAAAAGAGTGAAAGGTCCAGACCACACTGAGAAGCTGCTGGTGTTGTCCCAAATGGCAGAAAACTAAAAAAGTACTTTAGGGAAAAATACTCTCAGTCTAGGGAAAAATAAAAAAGCAAATCACAGCGCTTAACTGTACGGAGAAACATCACATCAAAAATCAGTCACTGTGGGAGTGTGCCTACGATACAAACTTACATGATGACACAACAGCCTTCTCCACTATGTTGCTTTGTGTTCTGAATTATCAGACACAAATAATCCTTTACTCTTTGCTGTACTTCAAGGAACTAAGCTAAGAAATAAAAAAAGTCGCACTTTATGAGGTTTCATTTGTTTGAACCCACTAGACATCTTCCCATACCACCTCTGAAGTGACCTAGTCCTACAATCAGGTTACAGATACCTACTACTCCACATGAGCTGTATGCAAGTCTGCTTTTAGGCCAAGACAGTTGTAGACACACAGCAATTAAAAAGTTTAGAGCACCAAACGCATAACATCAATAAACCAGCAACACTGCACAAAGAGGCACATTGTTTACCGTTTCCAATCCCAACTTTGTATGTAAACATCCCAACAAAAAGCTTAAATTATAACGTCTGTAAGATGTAGCTCACTGAAAAGGATTTCACAGAATATGCAATGTTTTTACAATTTTGTAAGCTGAAAACATGTTACATGGTGGTTTTTTTACTGCACTGATGATCTTTGAAATCTAGTCCCATTTGCGTTGAGCTACTTATTCCTAGGTTTGTAAGTGCTCTGTTAATGAGAAATATTTTGCTTATGAGGTCTGTGTAAAAAACTTTGCAGTATACAGAAGCAAAAAACCTACTTTTCAAGACAGTGTGCATCTCACTGCATCATCTAAATGTTGACTGAAAGGGACCTTCAGAAATCACAGGATCAGAATGGTTTGGGTTGGAAGGGACCTTAAAGATCATCTAGTTCCAACCTCCCTCCTTAAGCAGGGACACCTTCCACCAGATCAGGTTGCTCAAAGCCCCGTCCAACCTGGCCTTCAACACTTCCAGGGAGGGGGCATCCACAACCTCTCTCGGCAACCTGTGCTGGTGTGTCACCACCCTCACAATAAAGAATTTCTTCCTTATAGACAATGTAAATCTACCCTCTTCCAGTTCAAAACCATTACCCCATGTCCTATCACTACACTCCCTGATAAGGAGTCCCCCCCCATCTTTCCTGTAGGCCCCCTTTAAGTACTGGAAGGCCTCTGCAAGGTGTCCCCAGACCCTCCTCTTCTCTAGGGTGAACAATCCCAACTCTCTCAGTCTGTCCTCATGAGAGGTGCTCCAGCCCCCTGATCATCTTTGACCTGCTTGAGCAGGTCTGTGTCCTTGTGTTGGGGGCCCCGAGATGGACACAGTACTGCAGGTGGGATCTCATGGGATCAGAGTAGAAGGGGATATTTACCTCCCTTGACCTGCTGGCCACACTTTTTCTGGTGCAGCCCAGGACACAGCTGGCTTTCTGAGCTGAGCACACATTGCTGGCTCACAGTCAGTTTTCCATCCACTACTACTCCCAAGTCCGTCTCCACAGGGCTGCTCTCAATCCACTCTGCGCGCAGCCTGTATTTGTGCTTGGGATTGCCCCAACCCATGTGCAGGACCTTGCACTTCGCCTTGCTGATCTTCATGAGGTTTGCATGGACTCAGCTCTCAAGCTTGTCAAGGTCCCTCTGGATGACATCATTTAGTTCAGCCCCTCCACTCAGCAAGTCCCAAAGGTGGAGTATCACCAGTACTAGATTGGGTTAACTGCAGCTATGCCCAGCTGAGTCTTAAAAACTGTGGAAGGAGATCACTCAATTTCTACACTGAACTACAACCTCTTCTTAGTCAAGGCCATCTTTCCTAACCTCCACTGTAACCCCTTTGTGCTGTAACCTGTGGCTTTTTCCCCCTGTTACTCTTGTTTACCAATACCACCACAAATTCAGCTCTGCCATCTTTGTAACTGTCCTTCAGATAACAGGCTGCCCCTAGGTCACCCTGTATTTTTCCCTTTGCAAGACGAAACAAATCCAGTTACTTCAGTGTCTCTTCTCATACTGTGTGCTGTTAACCCGATACTCTCCAGTTCCTCAGCATCCCTCCTGAAAGGGGAGCAGTGGGAGGGGAAGAACCACACTGAGTAGTATCACAGTCCAGGTATGACCTCATCAGCATGAAGTATGGGAGAATAACAGCTTTCCTTGATGCGATGGCCATGTTCCTAATGTGGCTCAGTACACAGCCTGTCTTAATCAGTTCCTGCATTGTTGGTCCACGTTCAACCTGGCACCAGCACAGCCCCGGCTCCTTTTCAGCAGGATGCTATGCAGCCAGTCAGTTCCCAGCTTGTTCTGTCCCAGGTGCAGGATTCTGAACTTGCCCTCACTGAACTTGGCAAGGTTCCTTTAGGCCCACACCTAGCATTTTGCAACACCTCCCTGGACTGAAGCTCTGCCATTCTGGGTGTCAGCAACTACTCCTAACATAGTATTGTCTGCAAATTTTTACTAAGAGAGCACACTGGATGTCAAGCCTTCGATTCATATCCAGCAGTCCAGCCAATTTTTAGCACTCCTTGAAGACTTTTAGTCCCATCCACACCTGCTCTATCCCTGTAATGACTTTCCTTCTACAACACAGCCTTCTAGTAATCACAAAAACAACCAAAAGAGGGATCTGGAATTAACAGCTGTATTCACTGCTCACTCCTTAAGGCCTAGTGATGTTCTTGGAAAAACAAGATGACAAAAGATAGAAGGTTCACAAGGTATATCCTTAAGAGAACTACATTACAGCTGCAATAGCACTCTTATTTCCAAATTGATACCCATGTTTCTGAGGCTCCTTTCAACATATTACGGTATATAGATTGGTACATAAAATTAATTTTCCGTTTCTGAGTCAAGAAGCAAGTGCCAATGTCAGATGTGGTAAAAACCGAACAACTGGGAATGAACAATCTGTGCATACTTACTCACTGCAACAATACCAAGCTTCTTCACCTGCAATGAAAATGTTAAAAAGGCATTTTTAGTGATTGGTTGCAATAAATTTGCTATAAAGAGAAATTCAGAATTCTAGGAACCAACCTGTATGAGATAATGGATTTGCACGCCTCACAAGACAAAGATTATTCATCATAGTTTACAACATCATTTACAGGAAAACCCACAGACAGCAGGTCAACGGGAATGGGACAATGCATTTGCCAAATGACAACCATTCAGCAACAGTAAGCTGTGCTTCTTGTTATACTTTACCCTAATTCACAGGAAACTGAGCATACATTTAAACATCTTGCAGAGCTTGAGCAAATTTGTTTTCACATTATCTCTGCTTCTACTTTATTTCCACTGCAACCACTATGTTATTATCTACCCTTCTTCACACAGAATTTGCTTCAGTTCCAGTCATCTTTGCCCAGTGATGATTGTTACTAGTTTGGTTCAAAGTCTGTGGGGAAGACTGGCAAAAGTGAACACTAGAAGACGACCATAAAGGCACTGGAAGATCTATGCTGTTTGCACTCTGCAGTTCACTATAAACACTCTATTCAGATCTGGTTTGTTACTGTTTCTGTACGCTGAAAATGCTTGCATCATACAGTAAGAAGGACTCAATACCACAGGCTTTCATCTTGCACAACTGAATTATGCTCACCTGTTTCCGTGAGCCTAATGGATTGCCCCCAGAAATTGTAGCCCTCAAGCGTTAAACTGCAGTTATCCAAACTGTAGGTGAGCTTTGCTTTATCTAGCAACAAAGGAAAAGCTTCAGCAGCTGGCCGCTCCGCCACTCGGTAGATGGACTCTACAGCACCCGCGAGGGCATAACGATACCCGTCAGGGCTGCCCACACGGCTAAACAAGCCCGTCCCGGCCTGTTTGACCAGCAGTCTCCCTCCCTCCCCGCCCGCCGGCGAGCAGCCACGATCGCCGCCGAGGCCTGCTATCGGGGCGCCACGGCCCTCCTCACACGTCACGACCGCGAGGCCGGGGCTTGGGGGGCGGGAAGGGAAGTGGCGGCGGACCGGCCCTGCCTCTCGCCCGCACGGGTGTCCCCACGGGGGCCCGGCCTTCCCCGGGCCCTACGCCAGGCAGCGGCGAGGCGGCCCGGCCTCCCAGCGCGGGAAGGAGGCCGAGGAAAGGAGAGGGGGGGCAGGGGCCGTGTACTCACGTTGTACGTGTGGAC